TTGCTAGTAGTTTGGAGGCCATTGCTAGTTGTTTGGAGGCCATTGCTATTTGGTTAGAGGCTGCTTGTAGTTTGGAGGTCATTGCTACTAAGGTTGGAGGCCATTGCTAGTAGTTTGGAGGCCATTGCTATTAGGTTGGAGGCCAGCCATTGTCAGTAGTTTGGAGGCCGTTGCTATTAGGTTTCTGCTACTAGGTTGCAGGCCATTGCTAGTTTGGAGGCCATTGCTAGTAGTTTGGAGGCCATTGCTATTAGGTTGGAGGCCATTGCTAGGTTGGAGGTCATTGCTACTAGGTTGGAGGCCATTGCTTGTAGTTTGGAGGCCATTGCTACTAGGTTGGAGGTCATTGCTAGTAGTTTGGAGGCCATTGCTAGTAGTTTGGAGGCCATTGCTATTAGGTTGCTAGTAGTTTGGAGGCCATTGCTATTAGGTTGGAGGCCATTGCTATTAGGTTGGAGGTCATTGCTATTGGGTTGGAGGCCCTTGCTTGTAGTTTGGAGGCCATTGCTACTAGGTTGGAGGTCATTGCTAGTAGTTTGGAGGCCATTGCTAGTAGTTTGGAGACCATTGCTATTAGGTTGGAGGCCATTGCTATTAGGTTGGGTGCCATTGCTAGTAGTTTGGAGGCCATTGCTATTAGGTTGGAGGTCATTGCTATTAGGTTGGAGGCCATTGCTAGTAGTTTGGAGGCCATTGCTAGGTTGGAGGTCAAATGCTATTAGGTTGGAGGCCATTGTCACCCGTGGCCGAAAAGACCGTCGCCAGCGTCCAGGGAATCACCAAGCCTGCGATTCGGCGCTTGGCTCGGCGCGGTGGTGTGAAGCGCATCAGCGGTCTTATCTACGAGGACACGAACTGGTGAGCAAAATGTAGGAAACACAGGTCTTGAAATAGAAAAATACTTGGCAAGCCTTGCACCTGTACGTGCCAAACTTACCCAAACTTTCTGTAAAACTACTGCTCTTTTTGCTTCCCTCAAACAAGGCGAATTAGGTTGTATGCCAACCAGTGTTCTCTAGCGAGAGCGTGTTGATTCAGGAGACGAGGGGCGTCTTGAAGACGTTCTTGGAGAACGTCTTGCGTGATTCGTCCTGTACCGAGTCTCCGGTGTTACGAAAGAAGCTTCGGACCGAGTCTCCGGTGTTGACTCTGCCAACGTCCAAGGATCACTTACACGGAGCATGCAAGACGCAAGACCGTCACTGCACGAACCTTTGAGAGGAGTCAGAATGAGTATAGAGCATGATATAACATGACTGGAAACATCAGAAGCAGATTCAGGCCATGGACATTGTCTATGCGCTCAAACGGCAGGGCCGTACCATCTACGGATTTGGCGGATAGCAGGCCTAATTTCGATGTGTGCATGTGTGTGTGTGTGTGTGGGGCAGTCCGGCAACATACTAGCCGCTACTAGCCTCGCTCCGTTTTCTTGGAAGTTATCTGCGCTGTTTTTGACTGTTCAGGCTGGTCCTCACCAGAGAGTGATAAGGGTTGGATTAACCTGAACCATGCTGGGGCACCGGAGGAGTTTTTCTGGGCTTTTGTGCGATCAGGCTGTCATCACTTTTGGTCACAAGTTGTTTCTCAGACATCCAGTTTTAGCGGAATTGGTGCCCTTCTGAGTTGCGTACCTTGCTTGCAGCAGAAATTCGCTGCGAATAGAGGTGCGGGGGGATTGCGGCAAGCACTGCCAGACCATCCTTCGAAACAACACAAAGCTAGACCTGGCAGCGCTTGCAGAACGGGTGGGCTTCCGCATTTGCTGTGAGGTTTAAGCAAGATTGAGGCTCACCACGTCAGGGTGGACAGAAAATGTGTCTTCGTGCTTGATTTGCTTCATTGTACATGGCTTCGAGACTTATTCAGTATGTGATCAGTCAAGTGCTGCTGGCAATGAATTAGCTCGAGCCCAGCAGTTGCTTTTGCAAGGTTGACCACCCCGCAAAAACAGTTCCCCTCGCTACGTTGTCCAGTGATACTTCACTTGTGATAAGCCTGAACGCATTCAAACTTGGCCACGACTAGCCAGAGAGGCTGAGGCCTGCAATTCCTTTGCATTGGGCTGTGTGCAGAATGGATGTGCTGAATTCCGCTGCATAGGTCATGTGCGGAATTTTGGCCCTCTTCGGCTTGCAGGACACGTGAGCCCAAAGTCGCCAGAGCAGACAGAGATCCTATGTATACATGTGCAAACATACACACATGTGTATGCGATATATATATATATACATATTGTATATGTATGTATGCATCTTCGGGGGCTGCAGTAAATTCTCCACACGGTCTGTGAACTAAGCCTCCGCCCCCTTTCAGGACGCTGGACCCTTGCGGAAGCAAGTGGTGGATGCTGCAAAGCTCCTGCGTCGGGTGCCGAGAGTGGACATTCGGAAGGAGTCTCCACCGGTCCACGCCTGAGGACACCGAGGGCCTGATTGGAGTGGAGTATACTGTGAGGCCACATGCGGAATCCTGAGCAATGACACATGACCTGAGAAATCAACTGCTATTCCAGCGGAACTGGAGATTGGACAGTGTGAAGATTGTGAAGGCACTTGTTTCAAGACTATAAGGACTACGCTTACGCTCGTGTTTTTCGAACCGCACAGCATGCGTTGTGCAACAACATGGCGAGCCTAATAGCAGTATGAGTGATAGACGATCGCCGATCGCCTGGCAGGGAAGCACCATCATTGCCCACGAGCGCCTTGCGATCGTGGACCCTGACAGTGGTGATCAGCCGTTGTTCAACGAGGCACCGGGAATCTTCGGCAATGATGGCTCATGATCCGAGAATGGGAGGCCAAGGACATCGTTTTGGGGGTCAATGGTGAAATCTACAACTACACTGACTTGCAAGACGAGTTGGAGGCGAGGCAGGGAGGTCACTTGTGGTCAAAAAAGTACCGATGCTGTCGCAGATTTCAGGAGAGAGCTCCCAAGAAGCACAAATTCCTCACCAAGAGCGACTGCGAGGCCCAGCCGAAGCCGAACACTTGGCTCCGTTGGTCCGTCGGCCAGTTTGGTCCGCCAGGTCTTGCTCCACTTGTACGCCCAGGATGGCATCGATTTCTTAAGCAAGAACGAGGCGGAAGTAGATCTGACAGAACGCCTTCAAATAGGCAACTAGATCATGCTAGATCCAAAAGCTGTGCCATCTATGCTTTCTGTACCCGGTGGAGCCGGACTATGGGTTGCCTTTGTCCGGTCAGTTGGGGTTGGGTGTTTTGTGGGCTGGCTCTGTGTCTCTACTGTGTTTTCCAAGCTACGTTTGGTCGTCCCAAGTCTGACGACGATTCACATGGGCGCGGTTGCATACCCGGGCGTATCCAGCGGTTGCATACCAGGTGTGTGGAATGTATGCCTTCGCCATTTGGGACAAGAAAAACAAGACGCACATGGCCCAAATGACCTGTCGAGTATTTTGTGGCAGCATGACGCAGCGCAAGATCGTGGATGTAGCAACACCTTTCCTTTGCTTCCATTGGTTCTGAGGGATGTGTTTTGCCACCCTCTCAGGTATCTGGTTGCTCGCGATCCAGTTGGGATCATCCCGTTGTATATTGGATGGTTTTGCTCTGAGTCAATACCAGAAAATTCCTTCCGACATAGATCGAAGTCATGGTCTTTCCACAACACGTTGGAACATTCCAGGGGAAGCGATGGATCAGTGCAAGTGGCTAGCGAGCTGAAGGCTTTGCACAAGGTGGGGACCCCCACAGCATCTCTCAGATACTTCAACGTAGATGACAAAGATAGCATCAATCATATATGCATCTATGCAAATAGGTACACAGCTGCATATGTACATGTACAGGTACATGTATGTATATAAATAAGATTCACTTAACACTTTCAAGGGCATAGTGGCACAGCCTGACAGTTGGAGAGTACCACCCTGCATTTCTATGTCATGATGTGTAGTCAAGTCCTATTCCAATTCTCTTTTTTTTTCAATAACTTAATGTTGATTTCTTGCTGGAACTCAGGCTGCCTGGGCTTTCGGTTCAAGGTTGCACAAGGGATTGTGTTTTAGCCACTTAAGCAGAGCTCAAATAGTGCTCGATACAACCTGAAGCTTTATTTTCAAGACCCGAGCGGGTACTCTGTGTACTCATATGACTACAGGGAGCTTCACAACTTCTACCCACAGCAGTCTCATTTGGCCAAGTATCCCTAGAAACAGAACAAGAGACACGAACATTGCGAGCACAACACGCCCGCATATATGGCATGGTGTCCTAGTCCACTCCTCAGATTGGCTGGCTAAGCAGATCTAGCGTACTAGTGGACTCATTGGCATCCGAGGCATTCTGTCAAAGTATGGGCAACAGCAGCTGCCAATCATGCGGAGTTGCTCGAACCCTGGTTTGACGCTTCGTTTGAAGCCTTCCGTTTGAAGTCTTCGGTTTGCGCAAGCACCAGCTGCTTGACTTCATGGGACAAGGCAGACTGCGACAAGAATACATCCAAGCCTGGCCCTCCCTGTCCGGGGCTCTTCTTTGTGGACTGCGGGCTTGTCCTTGTAGCAGCTGGAGCACTGTGTGGAGAGACGTAGCAAGCCACATGAGGCCACAACATGAGACCCGACGCTCCCAAGACCAAAGCTTCTGCATTGCCTCCTTACTCGGCTAACTGGAATCAACCACTTCTTGCTCACTAACAGAAGCTGTCCCTGCACAATCGCAGAAGCTTTCGCCTGTTTTTTGCCTCTCGTAGCTTCTGTAGCTCCTGCCTTCCACTGTTAGTCTAGTTCCCCATCTGCCGAATGCTAGTCGATTCTGAGACGCAGTAAGCTTAACATGTCTCAAAGAGTGCGATGAAGCGGCGATTCTCTTGAACTTAGTCACAGACAGAAAACAAATGAACATAAAGAAAAGAGCCTCGCAGCCTTGCACGGTCGACTGCACATTCAGAACTTCCGAGGCCGAGCACAGCCGGCAGAAAGTTACCAGGAGGGCACAAAGGGTGCTTTTCAGGGAATGGCTCAGGCATTCTCTCAGGTATCCCAAAGCATCCCAAATCTACAGTCTAAAGCAGTCTAAGTTTAAGGGTCTTTTCAAAGAGATCCTGCCCGACATCTGGAACTCGATTCCAGGCCCTTGCTACCCCTCCAGCGATCAACGGTTGGGCGACTGCCCCAGAAACGGCAAGGCTTGGGTTTGTCTCAATTTGTCTCGGGATCATCCGGTCCTAACACTTGATTGTCTATGTGCCTCAATGGGGTTTCTGTAGTTTCCACTGGCTCCCTCATTCTTGAGACAAGCAGACAAGCACGAAACGGATATGGACTGCCAGACACTTTTTTGCGCTTTCGTGCTTTGATGACTAAGGAGTTCGCTCCTTTTGGATATGACCCTTTGGTTTTGCAGAATGTTGCAGCTGCCTCAGACTGCTCCAGCGTTTGTGCAAGTGCTGATCAGTTGTGGTAGGCCAACAGGCAAGAACAGAAAATTGAGATCAGCGACCTTGGTCAAAGACCACTAGACCAAATGCCTCAACATAAGTGCCCCCCAGACTGGTGCTGAGAGGCATACCAATTGATGAATCCCGCCTTTGAGAAGTGTGGAGGGTCGAAGGCTCCGTGAGAAATGTGTACTCTTGCCACATTTTGCTCTTTGCAAAGCTCCTTTCTGCAGGTGGAGCTACTTCGAAACTTCTTAAAAGCGGTTTCATCAACGTATCAGCTCATTCCATTCCACAGCTTTGCACACGTCAGATGCCCAGCTTCCACCATGTGTCACGTGGTGCTGTCAGCCAAGTCTTTGTGTTCAGGCTTTGGATGTCCTCCAAGCCTTGAGTTGGCAAAGCCGTACCCTCAGCTCCGGTCTCTGGGTTAAACTTTGAACGGCGCAATAGCTAGCGGAACATGGCGGATCTGGCACAACAGCAACGGCTATACTTTTGCACTGCTGTACTCTTGTGTTTCAGAGGCCACCAGATCAACTGTGATCACATGCTGACTCCCGTCAAGCAGTTCGCGCTCACCATCGCTGCTATTGCAGCCAATACCTCATATCACTCTGTGATCTTCTGAAGTTGACAGCGAGTGCATTGTACTGAGGTTGACATTGGACATCCTGGTGTTGACAATGCTTATCTCATAGATACAGGAGATCCCATTGCATCTTGCCACGCTCCCAGCCCCCTGAGTTCACACGAGTTCGCGTGGCTTCATCCACGTTTCTCTTTTACCGCGCATTGCACATGCAAGTGAGTCTGAAGCAGATTAAGCAACTTGCATTTGCTGCTTTCTAGGTTACAATGACTTCTCTCCGCTTGAGCCCACCAAGCATGTCTTGTTTCAGATGAGCATCAGATTCGCTGTAGTGGTGATAAAGTGC